AGCACCAAAGAACTAGAGGAAAGTTGTGTGTTTCATCGGTGCTATACTGCACCCTGACTGGCTCATCTCTTCCCTGTGACTCCTCTGTGAGGGAATGTCCAATTGTCTACAGATGGACATTGGGTCTCTACTCCATGCCCTTCCCCCACGTCACTGTGTGACTATTCTTACCTTCCTTTTCTGAGTTGTTCCTCCCACGTTAATCTAAACTCACTGCTCCATACCCTTCCTATCTGATTTTTCAAGTTGCTGTTAATATATGATCCCATGGTGGATAGATCTTTAACAAGAGCACAGTGGTCCACACAGGCATTCTTTACTAAGTAAGCTATAAGAAGTATTCAAAAGGGTATTTTTGTCTTCAGGTTTAAGGAGAATCTCAGGGAAATGGTTTAAGTTCATCCATCTTCTGTGGCACCAGAAAGTCTGGATTCCATAAGAATTTGAAACTCAGTTCTTTATTTTCTTTTTATTTAGGATTTTTCTATAGAGTCTTTAATCAAAAAATACATTTTTAATTGATGATAAAGTTCTTGTTTGCCTTCGATTTAATCTCTTGATTGAGCCTTGGACTGAATTTTAGTTAGTTATCAATTGAATGGCCTCATTAAATTTGGAGAGTGTGTTGTTAATTACCTTTAACACATATTAGCAAACTATCTGCTTAAACTACAAAACAGTTGGCCCAACAAAACTAGGGGAACTCAGTGGTGACTATTGAGGACTGAAAACCTGGCCTTTCTGCACCCTGAAATTATTCATTGGTTTAGGGTAGTGGTTTTCAACCTTCCTAATGCTGCAACCCTTTAATACAGTTCCTCTTGTTGTGGTGACCCCCAACCATAAAATTATTTTTGTAGCTACTTCATAACTTATTTTGCTACTGTTGTGAATCATAATGTAAGCATCTGATATGCAGGATGTATTTTCATTATTACAAATTGTACATAATTAAAGTATAGTGATTAATTACAAAAAATATGTAATTATATATTGTGAACTATTTATTTCTAGTGACAAATAAATGACATTTTGTCTTGAAGCATGGTGCAGCATGGGTAACAAGTCTTCACTCCGGGTATTTGTTATGTGGGCGTATCTGCATGTGGGTGGACCCGGCTGGAGACAGAGGAGCGGTGTCTCGGTTCCTAAGACCATGGGAAATAAGTGTTTTTGGATGATCTTAGGCGACCCCGGTGAAAGGGTGGTTCAACCCCCAAAGGGGTCGCGACCCACGGGTTGAGAACCGCTGGTCTAGGGGGATCAATTCTTCCTAAGAGAGATTTTCTGCGGTGTGTTGTATCTAGAATGAGTTTAATAGTCAGCAACCCTAAATGAAGAACGTCTGTTCACTGCGATAACAGGCTCCAGTGGAGGAGCATGCTGGGGCAGGTCAGTCTGGGTTCCTCTCCTGTTTGCAGAGATTTGCTTTTCAAGGGATGAAATACGAGAGGAATTTCCTAAGAGGGAAGAAAGTTGACATAATTTTAGTGCTCATACCAAAGAAAGAATTGGACAGCACTAAACTGATCTGGCTCTTTGAAGGAGGAGGAACCCTGGATCTAGCCTTGCTGAACAGTTTGAGTATGGTTTCTGACGTGAAAATATTTGTGGTAGATCGGATAAAGTTCTTAATGGCAGATTACAATGTGGAAGTAAGTAGTAACTGGAGACAGAATAATTATTTGTGGACAGCAAGATATTCAAGAGGAATTTAACAAGCTGGAAAGACGGTGTAAGTCAGAGTGGGAAGTTATTGCAGGAATTTGAGATGACATCTATAGAAAGCCACAAACCAAATAGAAGGAACGAGCAACTTAAAAATAGGCTTATTTTTCTGGATTGTTTCACTAGCTCCCACTGCCACCAGCCAAAGATTAAGACATTTTTTAGAAGAGAAACTTGATTTATTGATCATGTTAGTCAGATAAGCTTATTCTACATTAAGCTATCATTTGAGTATAAATGTATATGGAGTCAATTTCTTCCTATTGCTACCCAGTTCTTTTTTTAAAGAATGAGTGACGGTGCATTAACATTTAATGTTAAACTCACATAGCAGGCCTCCTCTCCCCCTTGTTTTTTCTTGTCAGCAGTGTGGGCGCACTATAGTAGAATCATTGTTTTGGTCTAAGTGCTATTGGGATATAATTTTCATAAAACTTTCCTTACTTTGCAACATAAACTTAAGCCCACCTAGAAAGCACAGCTCCACCCTTGAGACACATGGGTTGTTGCAATTGTAAGTCAGCTTGATGGCAATTGATTTTTTAACAAACACCTGTGAATCCTTTTTGGAGGTATAGGCATAATAAATCACACTATTAACAGCATAAAACATACTAATTATAGTAGCTTCCTATAATGGACGAAACACTGAATCTTGGGGGTTTTTTGTGTTATAGATTTATAAGTGTAATCATAATGACCTCTTTGTGGGTATATCACATGTTTTGATTTTAATCAATACAGTTTAAACCTTTGTTTACAATTAAATTTCTAGCTTTAAGAAGTTATTTAATAATAGTTCTTATGGTTTTATTTAAAGAATCTCCATAATACATTAACCAATCATTCTTTTTTTTTAAAGAATAGTTTATTGGAGCTTAATCCATATATCATACAATTGAATAGTTTAATTATATTATTAACCAATAATCCTTATTTGCATAAGATTTTAAAAGTTTTTCCATTCAACAACTTTCAAGTCATACCTGAGTTGTATTTTAATTTTATTTTCTCTATATACTTGCATCCAGTAAAGGTTCTTTTCTCATTTCTTTATATTGATGATTTGAAAAAGCAGATTGCTTTCTTATTTTCATGCATTTGGTTCAAACCATAAGAGTTTTGTGGGTTATATGCTGTGAACTTGAGAAAAGGTAGACGTTCTTAAAATCAGAGCTTTTCTACATTCAGTGAGCATTTGCTAAGGAAGAAACACACAAATCATGAAGAACCCACAGTCCCCAATGGAGAGAGCACCACCAACTCCCCCCCCCCGCCCCCCCACGTGGAATTTGCTGCTGTCAAGGCCATTGCCCTCTTCCAGGCTGAGGCTAATGTCTTCCTTTGCTCACAGCACTGGCATTTCCTTCTCATCATTCATATTGTTAAATTTTTCTTCTGATATCTTCGGGCTAAGGGTAGTAGTAGGGCATCTGTGACCTCAGGTGTTTCTCTGGCATGAGGCTAGTTGGATTGTGCCATCGCCCCTGCAGCTCTCTAAGGCACCCGCTCAAACTTTTGTGGCTTTCGGCCATCATTTGCGCCTCAATTAACCCTCAGTTCCATCTTCAGATCCCTTGAACACCGTTCTAAGTTATGGAAGTTACTTAACTGGCAGTGCTGAGAGGGGTGGTATTTTTAGCTACCTGTTCCTGATGACACCAGCATTAGGTACATTGAAAGCACTGATGGCTGAGAGCTCTCTCTCCCTCTTAGTTCGAGTTTTTCTTAAATTACAAAAGACCCTGTATAGTCAGGGGTGAAAGGCACAAGAGTAGTGTAGCTGCTATCCTTGTTGGAATGTTTATAGAATTTCACTTTGGGTTCCAATTTGAAGCCTACATAGCCACTTTAAACACTCGAAGGCGTCAAATGGGGAGATACTTAAGGTTTATTGTGCCAACCTGGCCGATAAACACATGTGGGGTTAATTGAAGGGCGGAGGGATAAATGGCTCGGTGAGCGTCGCCTTTCTAGTTCTCTGATCTCTTGCTCTCTGATGGTCAGACCAGGGTGCAGCTGCCTTAGCCAGTTCCCTGCTTCAGCTGGCAAGGCTCACTTCCTGCAAGACATCCCGAGGAGAAGCCATATGAACCTACCCCACCCTGATGGAGCCCTGGGTTCTGGAGCAGCCATGTGGAGACCCCTGCCAGTGCTGAGATGCTTACCTGCTCACTGATTTGGCTTTCCTCCTGCAGTCGGCGTCATTGCATGTGTTTTGTGAGATGGAGGAGGACTTTGTAGATCAGTGTCCTACATATGGGCTAATGTTGGACTTATGGGCTTGAGCAGCACTGGGTTGGGATGCGTTCTTAATGTACACTTACCCTTTATATAAAACTCTGTCTTATACATAAGAGTTTCTGTAGATTTGTTTCTTTAACGTACCCCGACTAACACAAATGTCTACCATTCAAACCCTGAGCATTATGTCCAAGGTGATTCACATTAAACTGTATGTCCTTATAGTGAGAATTAACAATGAGGAAACTTGGTGATTCTTATCATTGTCACTTCAAATTGTATAACCTTGTACAAACAGTCATTTATTACTTTTATACATATGTGTGTACCATAACCAGCTTCCAAAATGACCGCTAGGGATGTCTGCCTTCCCATCGCATACCTTTGTGAGGTCCCAGTCCACACTAAAAGATGGTCTGTGTGGCCAAATGACTGTGGCAGATGTGGCAGTGCGTGGCTTATAAGATAGGTCAGAAAAGGCATTTTACCTTTTCCCTTGATCTCTTAGATTACTCTGTTAGTCTGGGTGGACTAGAGAAAACAGAGAGACACTCATATATGTATAAGAAAGAACTTTATATAAAGAGCAATTGTATACTAAAACCTTCTAGCCCAGTCCAGATCAAGTACATAAGTCTGATATTAGCCCATATGTCCGATACCAGTCTATAAATTACTCTTCAGAATCATGCAACACATACAATGATGCTGAATGCAGGAAGATCATGGGCCAGTGGGTAGAACAGCTTGTGGATCCAGTGGTGATGGAAGCTTCTCAGTGCTGGTGGGGGTCTCCATGTGGCTCCTCCAGCTTCAGGGTTCTGGCTGCCATCCATGTAGCTCCATGTGGCTTGCCAACAGGAATACAAAGCAGAGAGTAGTGTGTGTGTGTGGCCTCACTCCAATGAGCTATTTATCGCTGTAGCACCTCCAAATGAGATCATCTAGCTGTGACCTGACAGGCTAAATACCACCACGTCATTCTTAATAGTCTCAAGTTGGCAGCAGATTATGTAACACCACCATTACTCACTCTAGGGAAGCAGGCCACCATTGAGAAAATATTCAAGACGCCCCATATAGAGGCCCACTGGAGTGGACCTTGACAATCCATGCAGAGATTTACATGCAGGCGCAAAGGATCAACGAGTTAACATTTTGTAATAAATAGCAAAAACTAGAGCTGTTCCTGAATAGGTGACTATTTGAATAAACTAAGCTATGCCCCCACAGCAGAATACTATAAGGTGCAGTTCTAAGAGAAAAAGGAGGAAAGTATCCAGTGTGGGGACATGGCCAGCATTTATTCATTGAAAAATACAGGAGACAGACTGAACTAATATGGTATTATCTAGATACATGCTCTGTGAGATTTATAATGTACAAGGGAGCTATTGAAGACTTTCAAAGAGTGCTAGGGTATTTAGCTATAAAGCATGGGTACTTGAAGTATAGAAGAACTAGGGCGAAAAATGTGAATTTCTTTTATATGTAACTGTTAAGTACTGAATTACAGTAATTCTTGAAATTAATTTTTTTTGTTTCATTTTTTCTAAAGTGTATTTTTGTGTGTGGTAACAGCTTTAAATTAGGATTTGCTTTTCCCCCCAGTGGAAAGAGTGAAAGAACAGTTAAAACTTTCCTTGGAAAACAAAAATGGTGTCGTGCAAACAGGTGAATTGACAGTTGTACTTGATGGATTGGTGGTTGAACAAGAAAATCAAGCAAACTGCAGTTCGTCTCCCACCAGTAAGCTTTTATGCGTTTTTTTTAAATTCAAGGGAGGAAAAAGTCTTCAGGAAGTGTGGGAAAACCTAGTTTGTTGTGTTCTTGTTGTTCAGTAGAAATACAGCAAAACGGTGATGCCTTACATGAAAATGGAGAGCCTGCAGCAGGGACAGCCACCAGGTAGGATGTTTCCTTTTCCTACTTCTGGCAGCGTGGTGTAACATTGTCTCCAGTGACTGTAAGCATTTTTTTTTAATCTTAGTTTATAATTTGCCATGGAATGCAAACACTTATTTATAACTATATCATTTCACTCCATTCTGGTGAAAATCGCTTTTTAAAAAAAGAATCGCTTTATTGCTCTACAATGTACATACCATAAAATTAGCCCCTGTTACTAAGTTGACCTTTCTGTGGTGTTAGTGTACTCGCAGAGTTAATGCAGGCACAGCCACTTGTCGAAACTCTTCCCCAGGAGCTGTCCCTCCATTTGTTCTTCTGCCCTAAACCAAAACCAAAACCAAATCATTGCCATCGAGGCAATTCCAACTCATGGTGAACCCTCTGTAGCGCCATGGGGGCGCTACGGTTTAGTTATTAGGCTGCTAGTCTTAAGGCCGGCAGTTCAAACCCACCAGCCACTCCTTGGGAGAAAGATGAGGTGGTTTGCTCCCATAAGGATATGTATACTCTTAGCAGCCTAATAACTAACCCAAAGAGCCAACAGAGCGCCTTCTCTTCCCGCCAGCTCCCATCAGTTACAGATCTATTTTCTGTGCTTGTGTATTGCCTATTATGGCCATGCCATATATTGTAATATGTGGCCTTTTATGATATCTTTTATCATTTTCCAGGTTCATCCATGTTGCTGTTTCTAACAAGTGCTTCATTCTTTTTTATTGGGAAATGGCTTATTAGTTTCTCTGCTTAGGCATATTTTATAGATAAATCCTAAAGCATGTCAGATATTAAGGCAAAGCAGACATCTTATTGTCTGATTGTCAGCTTCTTAAAGCTCGTTACAGAATAAGTTCCCCACAGTTTGTAGTTTTCCCTCAAAAATCACCCTGCTATTTCAAAACTTGCGTGGGATTCCCATTTCATGATGATTAGTAGGAACTTTATATGACATATAGTCATGCACCATTCAGTGTCTCTTCCGATATACACATCAGTGGGTTCAACCCATTTAAAGTCAGTGGTTCATAATAAGCAACGGGACCGGCTTTGCAGTGCACATCAAAACACGTTTCTACTACAGGGTGATGTTTAATGAAGCTAGAGGTGTTTCTGTCATGTTTATCATGCAGAGAAAATTATACTAAGTCAAATAGCTGCATAACTGATGTTTGATATGAACTTACATGGAAATTCAAATTTAAAGATAGATTTAGGACCAGAATTCATTCCTTAACCAGAGCCACTTCACATTACAGAGAGCCCTATTTCACTGAATATATTGTGGACCTATAAATGACGCATAATTGTGTTTAAATTGGAATTAAAGCATATAATTGTTCAAATATTAGGATTTAGCCAACCTTGTTGCTGCCTAGTTAATTCTGTTCACCTCAATCTTACAGGACAGAGCAGAACCTCCTCTGGAGAGTTTCCAGGGCTCTCACTCTGTATGGAAGCAGATTGCCACATCTTTCAAGGATTAACTAGTGGGCTCAAACTGCTGCCCTTTCAGTTTGCCACCTAGCACTTTCACTACTATGTCACCAGGGTGCTCCATAATGGAGCTAGCACCCAATCATACAATTTTAT